CTGGTATTTCTGGCCACTGTGTGACACAGAGTGTTGGACTGGATGGGCCTTTGGCCTGATCCAACATTGGCGTCTTTTATGTTCTTATGTTGAAGATTGCAATCATGTCCCCTCTAAGCCTTCTCTTTCCCAGGCTAAACAGACTTAACTCTTTCAGCCTTTCCTCATAAGACTTGGATTCCAACCCTCTCACCATCCTGGTTGCCCTCTTCTGGAGACGCTCAAGCTTGTCAACGTCCTTCCTAAAATGTGGTGCCCAAAACTGGACACAGTCCTCCAGATGGAGCCTGACCATACCAGAATAGAGTGGAATGACCACCTCCCGTGATCTGGACACAAGGCTTCTGTTCATGCACCCTAAGATGGCATTAGCTTTCTTCGCAGCCGCATTTCACTGCAGGCTCATGTTTAGCTTGTGATCCACCAGGACACCCAGATCCCTTTCACAGGTGCTGCTGTCTTCTTCTTGCCTTGCATTTTAACTGCTGCTCCTGCATTTTAACGTATGTGTTTCGTATTGGTTTCCTGGTCTTTTCAAAAAATAATATTCTGTTTTTCACTGTTGGCCGCCTTGGAGGCCCCGCCTTGGCAGGAAGGTAGGATGTAAATTTTGGAAGTAAATAAAACAAAACAAATAACTGGCTTGGCTACATAACCTCAGTTTGTCACGTAGGGCTCCCGTCCCCCTGATGGAGGCGGGGTTCCCCCCACTTTCGGGAGGCCCAATCTGCCTGTGGCCAGCTGACCGGTGGGGGAGCCCCACCTCCAAAGAGCCCCAGTGCATCTGACGTGCCCGGCTTGATGACGTCACCCAGGGGTGACGTCATCGCACTAAGCATGTCAGGCGGGGAAGATCTAGCATTTGGGTAAAGACTCTATGGTGACACATCCCTCTATGGGTCACCCATGCCCAGAGTAGCCTACCGACAGCAAGCCAAGAAGGGTGTGGGAGTGAGTAGGGGAGGAAGGGGCAGCTGCCGTGTGCCCCACTGCTTGCATGGCGGCTTGGCCAAGTCAGTGGCCGTTCCCCTGTGTCAGTTTCATTCAGGAAGGAGGATGGAAATGGAAGGTGCTTACGGGAGGCTACTTGGACTGCTGCAATGGGGCAACAGGACACACACACACCCCACACACACACGGCAAGTGATGTTCCCGCACCAATTAAGCAAAAAATGTGGGTTCTGTTGGAGATGCGGAACGCACACACAGAGATATGCAATAAATAAAGCAGAGGAAATGAGTGTAGCAGAAAAGGTCAAGGTCAAGGTTTCCTTTGTTCGAAAGCCAGTCGAATCCGATTCTAGGGTTGCGGTGCTCATCTCCGTTTCCAAGCCGAAGAGCCAGCGCTGTCCGAAGACGTTTCCGTGGTCATGTGGCCGGCATGACTAAACACCCAGGCGCACGGCTAATAGCCACTGATGGACCTCTGCTCCATATGCATATCTAATTCCCTTTTGAAGCCGTCCATGCTTGTAGGCGCCACCACCTCCTGTGGCAGTGAATTCCAAGTGTTAATCACTCTTTGGGTGAAGAAGGACTTCCTTCTATCCGTTCTAACCCGACCGCTCAGCAATTTCATGGAGTGCCCACGAGTTCTTGTATTGTGAGAAAGGGAGAAAAGTACCTCTTTCTCTACCTGTTCTTTCCCATGCATAATCTTGTAAACCTCAATCATGTCACCCCTCAGTCGTCGTTTCTCCAAGCTAAAGAGCCCTAAGCACTTTAACCTTTCCTCTTAGGGAAAGTGTTCCAACCCTTTTATCATTCAAGTTGCCCTTTTCTGCACTTTTCCCAAAGCTATAATATCCTTTTTAAGATGTGGTGACCAGAACTGCACACAGTATTCGAAATGAGGTTGCACCATTGATTTATACAGGGGCATTATGATATTGGCTGATCTGTTTTCAATACCCTTCCTAATAATCCCCAGCATAGCATTGGCCTTCTATATTGCAGTCACACACTGTCTCGACATTTTCAGTGAGTTATCTACTACGACTCCAAGATCTCTCTCTTGTTCAGTCTCTGCCAGTTCAGACCCCATCAATGTGTATTTATATTTAGGATTTTTGGCTCATTGGATACCACTAGACTGAGTTCCAGCCCCAATACATAACATTCTCCATAGATCTTACTGTGACCAAAACCTGTAGGAGCTCCGATGAAGAAGTGAAACAGTAGATCTGGCTGTTTATAGGCCAAATTCGGATCACAGATTAGCACTATCTGGCCCATCTGTTGGTGGTGGTACCCAAGGCATGAAAGCTTATAACCCAGAATGAAAACTTGTTGGTCTTAAAGGTGCCACTGTGCTCAAACTTTGAGCATAACACATTTTTGGGACCAGATGGTCAAGAAATATGTGTGTGGGGGGGACGTGTGCGGGAACGACCCCTTCGGACCTTGAGGGTGTTGGCACTAATGCTTACCCAGAATATAATACCGGTTGGAAAGTCGCAGGGTCGTGATACTTTGGCCACCCAATGAGAAGGGAGCACTCACTGGAGAAGACCCTGATGCTGGGAAAGATTGAAGGTCGAAGAAGAAGGGGACGGCAAAGGATGAGATGGTTAGACAGTGTCATGGATGCAACGGACATGAAATTAAGCAAACCCCGGAGCACGACGGAAGACAGGAGGGCCTGATGTGATGTGGCCCACGGGGTCGCGACTGTATGACTGAACGAGAACAACAAGAAGTGATAAATCAAAAGACAATGTTGGCCTGCGCATCTGCTCCACTGGCAACGTTCCGCCGCCAATGACGAAAAAAAGCTTTTAGACCAATCTACAAAGCGGAGGCAGCGGCATAATTGCCATGCCCTGGGTTGTCCTGTCTTCCGCGACTTTTTGCAACACAAACGCCAGTCCGGTCTAATCAGACTTCCTGCGACAGTTTGTGTTAATAAGCGATGCCTCTTTGCACATCCTGTACTCCTGAACCTCGGCCTCCGTGGGGGCACTCTTCCTCGGTTGCTTAGTTACAACACCCGAACGCTTCTGTCTCATTACACGCAGAGTCCGTTGTGCAGCTTTTGAAGCCCTTCCAAACAGAAATCCGTAGCAGTCGATGGCTAAGAAGTCTGACACCTTCACCGTGGCTAAGGAGGCTCTCGCTTCGATTCCACATCCGGTGGCAGAATATAAATGCCACGATCGATGTCATCCGCTATGCAAAAGGAATCTGCCATTCCGTATGCACCCAGACTCAAGCGGTATTATTCCACTCTATCCGGATCCAACAAGAGACCCAGGGAAAGGTGCTACTATTGAGAAATAGAGTCGCTTTTATCTCTTTCCCCATAAATGTGGAAGAAGCGGCTAAACCGCCCAAGCCCTCCGTTTTTGAGAAACCGCAGGATCAATGCAGGGTTGCTGATTCTTGTTTGGAATGGGACCCTGTTCATCAAACATCAGAAGAGCCCTGCTGGATCAGACCAGTGAGGGTCCATCTTGTCCAGCCTCCTGTCTCACACAGTGGCCACTCAGTTCTTCTGGAGGGCACACAACAGGGCAGAGAGGCCGAGGCCTTCATAAGAACGTCCGAAGAGCCCTGCTGGATCAGACCAGGGGTCCATCTTGTCCAGCCTCCTGTCCCACACAGTGGCCACTCATTTCTTCCAGAGCCCCAACAACAGGGCAGAGAGACCAAGGCCTTCATAAGAACATAGGAAGAGCACTGCTGGATCAGACCAGTGAGGGTCCATCTCGTCCAGCATCCTGTCTCACGCAGGGGCCAACCAGTTCCTCTGGAGGGCCAGCAACAGGGCAGAGAGACCAAGGTCTTCATAAGAACGTCAGAAGAGCCCTGCTGGATCAGAACAGTGAGGGTCCATCTCGTCCAGCTTCCTGTCCCACACAGTGGCCACTCATTTCTTCCAGAGCCCCAACAACAGGGCAGAGAGACCAAGGCCTTCATAAGAACATAGGAAGAGCCCTGCTGGATCAGACCAGGGGTCCATCTCGTCCAGCATCCTGTCTCACACAGCAGCCAACCAATTTCTATGGAGGGCCAACAACTGGGCACAGAGGCCTTCATGAGGACATCAGAAGAGCCCTGCTGGATCAGACCAGGGAGGGTCCATCTAGTCCGGCATCCCACCTCACACAGGGGCCAACTAGTAGGGTTGCCAGGTCCTACCTTTTGCCGAGCAGGGGAGTCGTGGGCCCTTCCCAGGATCTTCTGCTTCATGTGCATGGCGTGATGACGTCACCTGGAAGTGATGTCATCACTTGGCCAATATCAGGGGGTAACACCCCAATTTTGGGGGCAAAATTCTGGGTTTTTTTAAAAACTTCAAAACCATAGAGTTTGCCCAAAAACTAGAGCATCACTGCCCCCAACGTCGGCAGCATGATGATGTCACTTCTGGGTGTCATCATTGTGAAAGGGATGTTGCAGAGTGACGTGTCTGTTGGGGGGTGGGACTTCCCTGCCAGTCAGCTGGCCAGCGGAAGGCTGGAGTCCTAGAAATTGGGGAAAACCCCGCCTTGCTTGGGGGTCTGGCAACCCTACCAACTCATTCCTCTGGAGGGCCAACAACCGGGCAGAGAGGCCAAGGCTTTCTCCTGAGAAGAACATCAGAAGAGCCCTGCTGGCTCAGACCAGTGATCCATCCAGTCCAGCATCCCGTCTCACACAGTAGCCAACTAGTTCCTCTGGAGGGCCAACAACCGGGCAGAGAGGCCAAGGCTTTCTCCTGAGAAGAACATCAGAAGAGCCCTGCTGGCTCAGACCAGTGATCCATCCAGTCCAGCATCCCGTCTCACACAGTAGCCAACTAGTTCCTCTGGAGGGCCAACAACCGGGCAGAGAGGCCAAGGCTTTCTCCTGAGAAGAACATCAGAAGAGCCCTGCTGGCTCAGACCAGTGATCCATCCAGTCCAGCATCCCGTCTCACACAGTAGCCAACTAGTTCCTCTGGAGGGCCAACAACCGGGCAGAGAGGCCAAGGCTTTCTCCTGAGAAGAACATCAGAAGAGCCCTGCTGGCTCAGACCAGTGATCCATCCAGTCCAGCATCCCGTCTCACACAGTAGCCAACTAGTTCCTCTGGAGGGCCAACAACCGGGCAGAGAGGCCAAGGCTTTCTCCTGAGAAGAACATCAGAAGAGCCCTGCTGGCTCAGACCAGTGATCCATCCAGTCCAGCATCCCGTCTCACACAGTAGCCAACTAGTTCCTCTGGAGGGCCAACAAACAGGGCAGCGGGGCCAAGGCCATCCCCTAATGTAGCCTCCTGGCACTGGGTGTCAGACATTTACTGCCTCTGAATGTGGAGGTTCAGTCAACGTGACATTAAGAAGTAGTACATGGCAGTGCAGGTTTAATGGTGTCAGCATACTGATGACAACCATGTCTGGTGACAGAGGCGGATTATCTTTCAGCCGTTCCTGAGCTCTTGTCTGGGGGAAGAGAGTGAACCAGTGCAAAATAGAAGGCTGTTGCTGGAATGATTGAAGAAATATTGGAAGCAGAGCTCGGGAGACACCGTATCTTCCATGTGTCTCGTTCTTCCATGTATTTAAAAGAAAGGGGAACATACTCTGCTTCTGGTCTTTTTTAGTGTGACTGAAGGGAACTGTGTTCTTTTTTAAAAAAATAAACATTTTATCTTTTATAAAGACAAACACCAGACAAACAAACATACACGCATAAATGGGGGGATTCCATTACCTCATCAATTTACATACTTAAGTAAGGTAAAGGTAAAGGTTCCCTTGCTCGAAAGCCAGTCGAATCCGACTCTAGGGTTGCGGTGCTCATCTCCGTTTCCAAGCCGAAGAGCCAGCGCTGTCCGAAGACATTTCCGTGGTCATGTGGCCGGCA